TAATGTCTCCCTAATTAACGCTCGGATTGTCCACAAAGATGGACAATTTGGGAAGAGGAGATACGATTATTCGAGCCTTGCAGCTCGTTTTTATATATAGTTATTGTAAAAGTAACTATAGTAATGTTTCTCTAATTAACGTTCGGATTGTCCACAAAGATGGACAATTTGGGAAGAGGAGATACGATTATTCGAGCCTTGCAGCTCGTTTTTATAGTTATTGTAAAAGTAACTACAGTAATGTTTCCGTAATTAACGCTCAGACTGTCCACAAAGATGGACAATTTGGGAAGAGGAGATACGATTATTCGAGCCTTGCAACTCGTTTTTATAGTTATTGACAATCGGTGATTGTAAGAAACGAGCCGCAAGGCTCGAATAATCGCGTCTCCTCTTCCTAAATTGTCTATTTAAGTGCACAATTTGGGCGACAGTTAGGGAGACGTTACTGTAACTCGTGTTGCTTTGTAACGATGAAAAGATTGTATTGATTTAGACCATTTCGTCGATTGTATTATAACTAAACAACGTTTTTAATGCATTTGTAGCAAAAACGAGAAGACAAAGTGCAAAACATTAAATAGGTTTAAAGAATTTTAAAATGTTGTTGCATTAATTTTAACTCGTTTAAATGATTACTAAAAGAAATCAATGTGTATGTTGTTCCTGGACTTGGCAATAAATGCCGACAATTTTTATTTTGTATAAAATACTTAAAAATGTAACATTTAACATTTTCATAAATTCTATATTTTATGGAAAAAATTTAATCTGACAATAAGTCATTTAAAAGTTTACATTAGAGATGACTGTTTCAACGAAATTTTATGTTCACGTTTCTCCGTTTGAGGTTACAATAAGTCATTTAAAAGTTCACATTAGAGATGACTGCTTCAACGTAATTTTATGTTTACGTTTCTCCGTTTGAGGTTATGTAGGCCTATCCCGTGGAAAAGCAGCACGGTAACTAACCCATCGAGTGAAAAATAGATTCACTTACCCTGCACACAGTAACTAACGCGTCGGGCGAAAAGTGGGTTCGATTACTCTGCACAGTAAATAAGCTACTGAAATTGAAACCGGAAACAAATATTCAAATAAATAATCACTGTCCCGGTTTTCCGTAATCTCACGTTTTACCAATGCAATTAACATCGTGATATCTTATCTAGAACGATTTACTTTACTGCAAAATATCGATCTTCACTCGTTCAGTATTTTCTTGAGCTTTTTCGTAAGCTTTACAGAACATTTCGTGAATTCGGTATCAAAAAGTTGAAACAACTTCCATAGTATTTTAAGAATTTCCGTCTTTCACATGTTTAATTTTAACAAATAATCAATTAATTGAATTTAGCTAAAAAAATTGATATCTTATGCTCGATAAATATAAAGTTAATCATGCTTGAAAATAAACAAAAGGCACAGTAATTGGCTAGCCCGCAGTAACTGGCTCCACCGATTAATTGAATTTAGCTAAAAAGTTCGATATCTCCTGTACGATAAATATAAAGTTAATCACGCTTGAAAATAAACAAAAGGCACAGTAATTGGCTAGCCCGCAGTAACTGGCTCCACCAATTAATTGAATTTAACTAAAAAGTTCGATATCTCCTGTACGATAAATATAAAGTTAATCACGCTTGAAAATAAACAAAAGGCACAGTAATTGGCTACCCCGCAGTAACTGGCTCCACCAATTAATTGAATTTAGCTAAAAAGTTCGATATCTCCTGTACGATAAATATATTAATCATGCTTGAAAATAAACAAAAGGCTACCCCGCAGTAATTGGCTCCGCCACTCTATACGGTGATTAATGTGTGAAAGTGAGGGATGCTCCTGTGAGACAGTTATCGAGTGGCCACTGTACGCTGGTGTCAGACATTTCCAGAAGCTATAACGCTGCTAGCATAGCCGGATTACGCATGCGTCCATAATGTATATGAAACCAGTGGGCGTTCCCAAAGGCCGCTTAAAGGGCTCGCACTTATCGCGCGGCCGTTTCCCGCGAAACGCGCGCTTCGCGAGATTTTCCCGAACGTTCTTTCCCGATTCGAACCGAACGTTCGTTCGCTGCACGCGCGGTTTGCAAAGGACTCGGAACACTAAATTGCGCAATAAATTCAGAAGTCGTTCTCGTATTTGTACGACTGTTTCGCGGCCGAGCGCGGCCCGTACCGCTCGTACCGCGCTATCACGTGCCACGTAGACGCACGTAACGAGACGTGCGAATTAAAGTAACGAAGAGTTTAGTTGCCCGTCGAACCGGCAAACGGATGTAGTTACAGTTTTCGTGATCGGCGACGCGCCGGTGAATTCTAAATTGATCGTGTAACAGTACCGGGCCGGCAAAGGAAAGGAACGCGATCGGTATGCGAGTCGAAACAAAAGGGAACGCTGCCGATCTTCGTCGACGTGTCCCTCTAACGTCGGTCTTTCTATCCGCGATTTGCGACGCAAATAATAAAAGCCGGCGCGTTTGAAGAACAACCGTTAGCTATGCGAATCGTCGGCGGAGCGCCCGGATCACCGCAACCGGACTATCTTCGGAGCAAACGCGACTCGGATCCCGCGACTTTCGTTCGATCGAGCGCGCTTCCCGCGACAATGCCGAACGTTTGGAGTTGCCCGCTTGGCCATTTGGCCACTTTTTATGAAATGATAGAAATAACAGAGATTATAGGAATCGTGGGAAACGCTAGAAAATTAAAAACCGTCTTCGACGGTTTAATTCGAAAGTTATTGGGTCTACCGGAAAGTTCTGTCCGTTTTCGAATTGAAATATAACACAATTTTCATACATTTAATAATACTTATTGTAGAATATACTTTCCGTCGTTACTTATGACTTCTTGCCAGCGCGATGGCAACTTGTAAATGACATTTTTAAAAAATGATTTATTTTTAGAGGCGATGAACTCGACCAGTGCTTGGTTGACATCGGCTTCAGTTTTGAATTTTTTTTCCTGTAAAAAGTTTTGCGAAGAGAGAAACAAGTGATAATCGGAGGGTGCTAGGTCTGGGGAGTATGGTGGATGCGACGGAATTTCCCAGCCTAGCTCTGCGATTTTCTGACGAGTCGCCGAAGCAGCATGTGGTCCGGCATTATCATCGGTAGCCATGTTTTCACGATCGCGTCTCGCTTGATAATGACATGAGACATCTTTGTTTCAGTTTATTTAGGAGAGTACATGTGTGTAAATATATGTCTCAAATCAACATGTGCATATGGATTGAAACTTGAAGTGACACTATCGAACAGAACTTTCCGGTAGACCTGATGAAACCGTAGCATCACGGTCGTTTCGCATCTTCAACCGATCGACGTATCAACGCGTCATCGGCTGCGAATGGGTTAATTTTGGAAACAGATGAGCTCGCAAGAAGCTTCGCTTCTGTCGCCTTTCGCTTGTGAATTGTGTCGGTCTCTTGAAACGAGAGCACAGAATAATGAAATTCGAACGTGCATAAAAAAGATAACGTTCGAACGTGTATTGATAATAATTATCAAGTAAACGATCTTTAGATTCGTTTAACGTATTACGGCAGCGTCTGACAACAAGTCATCAGCGTCTCTGATATTTGTACGTTTTAGTATTACGAAAAATGTACAATGTTTGTTTCCCGTTGTACGAAATCGTTAAATAAATGACGAAGCACTCGGAGAACGCGCGGTTTCGATGCAACAGGGAATCTGTCGTGTCATCGAAGGAGCGACTGCTAACTTGCACGAGAGAGAGAGAGAGAGAGAGAGAGAGAGAGAGAGAGAGAGAGAGAAAGAGAGAGACAAAGAAAGAGAGAGAGAGAGAGAGAAAGAAAGAGAGAGAGAGAGAGAAAGAAAGAGAGAGAGAGAAAGAAAGAAAGAAAGAGAGAGAGGAAGAGTCCGACAGTCGAATCGCAAGTAAAGAAGCTCGAAGATGCCGAATTCGTCCGCGGATCGACGCGTTAATCGAGCCGCGCGTCCACCAGGCCAGACGCGGTCGACTTTGATCGACATTTTCTAATTTTTCACGGCGATCGCCGATCGCGTTGAGGGTCAAAGCCGTGTGCCCGGCCAGATAATGACCGGCGCACAGAAACGGAGACGGCTACCGCGTGCAATCGCCGCTTTCCCCTGTCCCGCCGTTCGGTCAATTCCTTCGATGTTAATAATTTAATGAATCTCGCGGTGCGTTATCGGCGCCGTTCCATCACGCGTCGGTCTCGTGTGTTGCGTCGGTGCCATTGCACCCGCATGCGCTTCCCGTCAATACCACGAAATTATCGTGGACCTTCATGGTTCGCGCGAGATATGCCGACGCGCGACCAGGAAAAAATGTTCGATCGTCGGTAATCGGTTTCGTTTCTGCGTCGGAACGATTGCTTGTTATTCGACTTGCATTCGCCGAGGAGGGAAAACAGGGCGACGGGAGAAGGTTGCTCTATTTTCTGCGAACACCGATTTGCTGTTACAACGATTCCGGTAGAAAATGTTTCCTCGAGATCCGAGAGCATCGTCTTCGGTATGGAAAACGTTTTGGGCCGTTCGCAAAGTAAATGTTGAACTAAGAACCTTTGGATCGTCGGCCCGATTTCCAACTTGCGCTGCTTTTCGTTTTCTGAATGAACCTCTTTATTTCACGTAGAAGTACTCGATTTACACCGAATGTCACGACGGATCGATTGCGCTTGAGTAGGAGACACGCGAAATTATCGTGGACCTTCATGCTTCGCGCGAGATATGCCGACGCGCGACCAGGAAAAAATGTTCGATCGTCGGTAATCGGTTTCGTTTCTGCGTCGGAACGATTGCTTGTTATTCGACTTGCATTCGCCGAGGAGGGAAAACAGGGCGACGGGAGAAGGTTGCACTATTTTCTGCGAAAAACGATTCCGGTAGAAAATGTTTCCTCGAGATCCGAGAGCATCGTCTTCGGTATGGAAAACGTTTGAAAAGTAAATGTTGAGCTAGGAACCTTTTGATCGTCGGCCCGATTTCCCCCGTCAACTTGCGCTGCTTTTCGTTTTCTGAATGAACCTCTTTATTTCACGTAGAATTACTCGATTTACACGTGACCGAATGTCACGACGGATCGATTGCGCTTAAGTAGGATACACATCTTCGGACAGAAGTTGCTCGTAGCTACAATTCACGAAGCTTCCGATCGTCGGGCTGTTCATATATTACTCTATAAGTGATCGGCTTAAGTACTACGTTCGTCGGCGGTAACACCGTGTCTGCTAATACTGTGCCAGCGGGGCCATTTTGATTAGACGGGGGCGAGGAGGGGGCATCAAAAAGTCTTCCACCTTCTCGCATCGAGATACGCTTTATCCTCGCGAGCCCGTCCGCGATCGGAGAACCGACTGACGCGTTAAAATTAAAGATAAATTGACTAGAGACATGTACTTATGTCGAATAAAAAGCACGAGCCTTCTTGATTGTCTAAGCTAATGCGTGGAATTGCACCATTTGCTCTGGTATACTATAAATAATGTATAAATACACATCTATTGTTAGGTATCTTCGTTTTGTACGTACGGTCTGGCTTTGGTACATGGTCGTGGTACTGCGAGCGAGGGAACAGAAATCGTATCGACGCGTTCCCTCCGTAGCGTCGCGCTACGCGGTTTCGTCACGAATTAAAAACGGGGACAAAATGCGCTTTTTCCTTGTTCGCGTCTCGCCAAACGGACACGGATTTTCAGCGTGAACGGTACGGTAAAATGACTTTAGAATTTTGTCGTAATTATGGAACGCGATTCTCATTTTGCTCGAAGATCTACAGCATATATTTTCGATATATCGAATATAATTTAATCTGAAATCTACGTAAAAATGAACCTTTCTAGCTCTAGTTACACAACGAAACACTGTCAGAACGTCGAAGTCTCGATACGAAATCTACGAAAAGTGAAAATAACGCGAATGTCCCAATTACCGATGTACCCGAAAAGCTACTCGTATCAATTATCGCGAGCGAAACTACGAACGAAACGAAAACGAGACACGAACGGGTTGGGAGGAGAAAAGCTGTAGCTGCAACTGGTCGCGCGACGCTACGGAGGAAAGGCCCGAACAGTAGATTCACTGGCCAACGAGAATGGCGATCGGATCGATGGTTTCGCCGGGCGGAAGCGGCGAAACGTGATTGTCGTGTCGACCGATCGTGGAAATGCAATGCGGCATCGATCTGCGCTCTAGCTAGACCCGGTCCGTCTACCTAGGTCGCCGTTCTAATCGAATGAAATTCGTATCAAGCGTCCTACCTCTTTGTCCGTTCAGAGGAGCATCGGTGGTCGCGCGCGAACAGGTTCGTTCGCACGTTTGGACGAATCGTTCCCGACGCAGCTCCTCCCGTTCGTCGCGGAAACCTCACTTGGTCACTGCACCTCGCACTGGCTCACTCTTACGTCGCACTATCGTCGGCCTCGGGCCGCGGTCACCGATCCGGCCGTCGAACCGGAAGCCGTCGCCGTCGCCGCGGCGGGACCCGGCGTCGAGTGCCGAGCACGCGGGAAGAGAGTCGAAACGGAGTCTCTAATCGAACCGTCCTCCCGGGTAGTAGATGAGCGGCGTGGTGGCGTCCCATCCGTCGATCTCCTCGTTCGACTGGGCCGCTCTCCTCTGGCAGTTCAAGATCAGCGTGCTGTGCCTGGGGCTGCTGGGCGCCGACCTGCAGGTCGCCTGCGCCATCGGTCCCAGCCGGAAGCTCCTGGCCCCGCCTCGCGGGAAATAGCACTCGCTCCCGATCGTCCAATTGTTCCTGGCGATCCTCGTTTCCGGCTGCGGGCGGTCCGCGTCCGCCGCGTCCAGCCGCGCGTCCTGCTCGCAGAGCTTCTCCACGCAGGGGCACGAGTTGCTCGACGACCGCCAGCTCTCCATGCAGGACGACCTGATCGCGCAGGACATCTTCGGCTTGCACGGGCTGTTGTCCGCGATCGACTCCAGCTGGCTGTTCGCGCGCGAACACTTCTGGTCCAGCTGGTCCGAGCTGGCGAACCGAAGCCGCTTCGGCGACTCGCTCGAACACCGGACGAACGTCGAACGCACCAGCGACTTGTTCTTCAACGAGCTGCGCGGGATCAACGGGTTCCCGGTCTTCCGGCAGCCACCTCTGCGCCCGTCCCTCTTCGAGTTCCGCTCCTCCCGCAGGACCGGGTCCTCTCCGATCAGCCAGTAGGTCAGACGGTCGCCCTTTCCCTTCATCGAGACCAGACCTCTCTCCACCACGCTGAAACCGCCCAGCTGGTCCAGCAGATGCTTCGTCTCGCTGCTGCAGTGGATCTTCAGCGCTGGAAACGAAGAATCGTTCAGCGAAAGAAACTCGGTGGCGAAGGCTTCGAAGGAAGAACGGGACTGTCTTGTGCGACACGATTGAGCTGTTATGAGGTTGATCTTAGATTTACGTTATTTTTGGCGCTAATGTGCCGATCGTGCGACTGCAGCGATTAATAGCGCTGTTACCAACGATTAATTCCTTATAACGATGTCTCTAATTATTTCTAGATTTATACATTGGGAATTAACGTATGTAATAGCAAGCTGGCTAATTCACATTGATTTTATGGAAGTAGACATTATGTTATTTTAGAACGTGGAACGTCAGGCATGATTAACACGTTCAGATATTTGACCAGTTATCAAAATTCATTTCTGCTGCAATTAGACAGCGGATTTTTATGCAAAATGAAGATCGTTCGCATCGAGTACAACATCAAGGAGCTACGTGTACATTGATATCGTTCTCAAATCATTTTAATTCGTTCCAAATAATGTCGCAATATTTTTGAATTTATTCCACGTTTTTATCGTTTCATATTTGATCTACACATTTTTTGACATAAATACATAAAATCGGCAGTCTACTTATAATATATTCGAACCAACTCAATTTCGCTAGGTCGTTTACAATGCAACATTGTTAAAATACCATGCTCTACGATAAATACTAACTTTCCAGTTTCGTTAATTAAATCGCTTCGATTTCGAAACTTGTAGGAATTTGTTAGAATTTCTAGGAATTTTTTAGGCTCGATTGTCGGCACTCAACGTGTTCGCGCGATCAAATGGAAAACCTCGGAACCAAATTGCGAACGCGTTACGATCTTCGATGACAGGTCGCGAGGCGAGCGACAATAGCGAGCCTACTTTTTTTCGCGATAGGCCATTAACCCGAGAAAGATAACCTACGTCGCAGAGGCGCCTGCGAAAGACTGTTGATTTTTGTTAATTTTTCATAGAGGTCTAGTGATTTAAGTTTAAAATTACTTAAAATATAAAAAAATATAGTATAAATGCATTTTATTTTTACAATAATGCCAAACCTTTAAAATGACTAGATTAACTTAAATAAATATCCATTGTTAGTATAAAATTGACGCCTTAGAAAAGCATGCGCCTCTGAAGCGTATGGTTATCTTTCACGTACGTTGTCATATGGTTATCTTTCTAGGGTTAAT